TACTATAATGGCTATAGTCCACGCCTCTTCAGATGAGGATTAGATTAGATTGAATTTGATCAACCTGAACTACTGTATTTACTGACTCAACAATTCAGGATGTAGATTGGATTAGATCTGATTCGATCTGGATTGCTGTATTTACTATTGATTTGCGTCGCCTCCTAATTTGCATAAAATATACTTTTCAGCAAAAAAAAAAAATAGCTACTACTCACATATACTGTGTACCTTGGCTTGACTAGGAGTTAGGATGTTTGAAGAACGGAGCCATACTGCAAAATTTTCCTTCTTTTTTTTTCCCCGACGAGCACATGCACGTTCGTCTTTTATTCTCTGGGCTGTGATACTTGAAGTACAATGAAAGCTAAAGTGCCGACACTTGAATATGTTGTTACAAGAATGAATCTGTCAAGGTGCAACAACTTCCTTCATTCCAAATAAATATCATGAATGTCGGCACCTTACCTTGATTTAAGTACTCTGCTGTGGATATGATGCTGAAAAATAAGTGCAGATTTATTTACACAATCTCATGAAACTGAAATGAAAAATTTAGCTGAAGTTACCCAAGTGCTACCCCTGAAACACGAGCTACCAGTAATAAGTCTGTTGCTGAAGATGTTTGCTGTTGCATCACCATTAATAATAATAATAATAAAATATTATTAATAATAATAAAAGACATCAGTAGCTCGGCAAGCTTCTGCTGATGGCAGCCCTAGCCTAAACAAACCAGGCGGCCTTAAATCCGAGCAGCAATCATGGCGTAAACAAATATGCATAAATTTACAGACGTGAGTAAAGTTGTGGTTCAAAAGTCAGATATGCTGTGTGATATGTGATATTATTATGATAGACATCACTATTATGATAGACATCATAATAGTGGATGTTCCAACATAGAAGCCAAGGAATGCTGTAGCCAATGTGAAGGACAAGTTGCCGTGCAGAAATTTCTTTAGTCTTGTTTATGCCATCATCATCAGCATCATCATCATCAGCCTGACTACGTCCACTGCAGGACAAAGGCCTCTCCCATGTTCCGCCAGTTAACTCGGTCCTGTGCTTGCTGCTGCCAATTGATACCCGCAAACTTTTTAGTCTCATCTGCCCACCTAACCTTCTGTCTCCCCCTAACCCGCTTGCCTTCTCTGAGAATCCAGTAAGTTACCCTTAATGACCAACAGTTATCCTGTCTACGCGCCACATGCCCGGCCCATGTCCATTTCCATTTCTTGATTTCAACTATGATATCCTTAACCGCCGTTTGTTCTCTAATCCACTCTGCTCTCTTCTTGTCTCTTAAGGTTACACCTACCATTTTTCTTTCCATTGCTCGCTGCGTCATCCTCAATATAAGCTGAACCCTTTTTGTAAGCCTCCAGGTTTCTGCTCCGTAGCTAAGTACTGGCAAGATACAGCTGTTATATACCTTCCTCTGGAGGGATAGTGGCAATCTACCTGTCATAATTTGAGAGTGCTTGCCAAATGTGCTCCACTCCATTGTTATTCTTCTAGTTACTTCAATCTCGTGGTTCGGCTCCGCGGTTATTACCTGCCCTAAGTAGACATAGTCTTTTACAACTTGAAGTGCACTATTACCTATCTCGAAGCGCTTCTCTTTTCCGAGGTTGTTGTACATTACTTTCGTTTTCTGCAGATGCATTTTAAGACCCACCTTCTGCTCTCCTTGTCTAACTCCGTAATCATGAGTCGCATTTTGCCCCCTGAGTTACTCATCAATGCAACGTCATCGGCAAAGCGCAGGTTACTAAGATACTCTCCATTAACTCTTATCCCTAACTGTTCCCATTCTAGGCTTCTGAAAACCTCCTGTAAGCACGCGGTAAATAGCATTGGAGAGATTGTGTCCCGCTGCCTTACAACCTTCTTGATTGGTATTCTGTTGCTTTCTTTATGAAGCACTATGATAGCAGTTGATCCCCTGTAGATTTCTTCCCGAATGTTTCTATATACTTCATCGACGCCGTGATTCCACAGTGTCTGCATGACGGCGGATATTTTTACTGAATCAAACGCATTCTCGTAATCTATGAAAGTTATGTATAGTCGCTGGTTATATTCTGAGCATTTCTCTATTACCTGATTGATAGTATGAATGTGGTCGATTGTTGAGTAGCCTGTTCGAAATCCTGCTTGTTCCTTTGGTTGATAGAATTCGAATGTTTTCTTAACTCTGTTAGCAATTACCTTTGTAAATAGCTTGTATACTACAGAGAGCAAGCCGATTGGCCTGTAATTCTTCAAGTCCTTGCCATCTCCTTTCTTATGTAATAAAATGATGTTAGCGTTCTTCCAAGACTCTGGTACTCTCCCCGTCAGGAGACACCTCGTGAACAGGGTGGCTAGTTTTTCTAACACAATCTGTCCTCCATCTTTCAGCAGATCTGATGTTACCTGATCCTCACCAGCAGCTTTGCCTCTTTGCATGCTCTCCAAAGCTTTTCTGACTTCTATTATTACTGGTGGAGTGTCATCTGGGTTACTGCTAGTTCTTATAGTACTAAGGTCGTGGTTGTCCCGGCTACTGTACAGATCTCGCTACTGTTTATGCCATAGGCTGCCCCAATGGTGACATTCAGTACATCAGTGAAACTCGTGATTTCAAGAAAAGAGTGAAACAACACAAACATGATGCCACGAAACGATGTGTGGCCTCGACTGCCCTTGCTGAACACTCGGAATGTACAGATCACCAAATACACTTGTAAAACTTGTGTGTTCTGGACAAAGAAAAAACCTGCATCTTGCCACGAGAGGGGGGGGGGACTGAAGTAATTGCGCCATGGAATGGTGGGGGTATCGCGTGAATGTTGCATAAATTAGTAAGGTTTGGGAATGCTTAATTGTCATTTCATCTTTATTATTTGTATTTATTGAATGAAAGAGAAGCGTTGCCTTCAATGAGTGCTGGGACACTGTTGGGTTGTGCCCCACGACTGGTTGAAGGTAGTGCTGCTTCCATCGCATCTGCTCGAGTTAAGCAACGCGTCAAGTCAAGGGAAAGCCAAGTAAAGACACCCTTTACTGAATTCCGAATGCCCGATCCAGTGCCTACATATATGGGGTGGTCAGTGGACTGTTGTGCAGAGCGAACAATTCGTTTTTACTAGCAGATGCTGCCTGCGTCAGCCTTGCGAGGCGAGAGAGTGGGGAGAGCGACAGTTGGAACGAGACGCAAGGGATACATGTAGACACCACCGCCGACGCCGGATTTGCGAGTAGGTTTGACAATAAAATGCTCCGCATTTAAAAGAAGCTTGCGTCATGCCTGCATCTGGAATCCAGATACAGACGACTGTACATACGCTTAACAGGAGTGATGAGACGCTTCTGACAATGTACTCTCGCTGCTTACGTCACGTATTTAGGTGTATTTAAGTATGCTGTGCCTTTCTTATGAACAAGGCTCCCCCTCATATCGGGTACTGAAACGTCAGTAAACTTTGTGTTCTATGGGTCGGTGTATCCTTTCGTGTTTACACTCGGAAGCAAGAGTTATGCACTGTCTTTTTTTTTTTCACACGCCTTAGCAGCTCACTGTAGTAGCAGCTGAGAGAGAGACTCTTTAAGCTTTTATCAATGGTAATGCTTATTTTTGTGACGGTTGCACAGAACTGCTGTCAGTTTCCATGACCTAGTTAGGTGTTTCAGAAATTCTCCGACTTTTCCAGAAGGGTCCACATTCCCTGACTTTTCCAGGTTGGTAGACACCCTGCAGGATCAGGTCTCATCTGCAACGGCCACATTTAAATGAAGGCGAAATGCTAGAGGTCTATGTGCCTATATTTAGGCACACGTTAAAGAACACTCCACTACAGTGGGTCTTGTAGTGAAATTGTGGTTTTAGGATGTAACAGCCCAACCATTATTATGTTCTGCTGGTTGAAGGCTGACAGTCTGGCAGACTTGCAAAAGGCTGTGAAAAGCTTCTTAGTATTGCATGTTATGGAAAATGGCACTGCTCATGACTGGGTGACATTCCCAGTCCTCATCTATACGTGGTGACAACTTTTCTTGACAGCACTGTGGAAGCTCCAGAACCTTAAGTGCATGCCTGGTGCCGCGCTGAAAAAGTAGAACTTATATTTCTCATTTCCTTTGTTAGAATAAATGCTGCTTTATATATTATGAGACTGAAACAGTTGTGGGAAGTTCTAGATAAAATACAGTTATTATTCACCTAGAATGCTTTCCTTTTTCTTTTTATTTCTTACACAGCACCATCTTTTCAGCCCACCCATAGTCCTAGGAAACATGGCACCAGTGCTACTAGTGTGCGGCCGCAAACGCGCTGTTTGGTTCTATAAGAAAAATGTACTCGTAATAGGACACTAAAATGTACAGTGGATAATTGAAATGTTTCCTCCATTCATAACTTTCTTGCATTTGTTTTTACACATGCATTTATGTTGCGAGCAAAACTACAATCGGGTGCAAGCAGCTGCATTACTTGCGAAGCAACACAAACGTGCGAAAGCCCTGCTTTCGTAGCCTTCCATACAATGTCAAGATAACTTGTCGCCATGTATAGCCTGCTATTTTTCTACCCCATGCTGCAGGCAATATAACTTTACCTATAAATTTGTGAGGGAGGGGGTGGTGGCAGAGTGCAATAGAAGTGTTTTAAGTTTTGGTAACCACATGTCAGAACTGTGTGTGCATGGTTGTTTGAACTTTCTGGAAATTATGTACGTGAGCGTCACAGCCTTCAAACAGCAGGGACTTTGATCTAAATTTGTTAACGTACCTAAATAACTACCTGCAATGAGTGACAAGCTGCACTGTTTAATATAACTAAGTAGGAAGAAGACTGGTATCAAATTTTAACAACTGCTGCTACGAACTGTGCAAATAATAAATGTAACTCAGTGGCACAAAATATTTTGTTCATTATTCTGGGAACTTACAGTCACCTCATGTCACATGTATTGCAGTATTAGGGATCAAAATTAAAACAATATACACTCAGCACACATAGGTTATACACAAGTAATTGTGGGTTTTATTATCACATCATTAATACACATTAGTACATTTGTACATTCATGTAAAGCACACCCACATTTTACAAAATGTGCTCATGCCATTTTCAGGCACAGTGCAATTGTTCACTGCAAACAATTTGGTGCTGTGGAGATTGCTTGACGTCAACTCTACCAAAAGTTCACTGTTTCAACACATTCTTCAAACATGAGTCTCGGGCAGTAAATGAGACAAGCCACATGGCACAAGTTTTGATTTACACGTGATTTGGTAAAAATGCATGAATACGGTGAACTGCACATTTCCAGCATCATCTTTCTCTCATGCTGCTTCACCTTATGTTGGCATTATTAATATTGCTAATGTTTCACACTTATTTCAAGTCAAACTTGCTCTGCCTCTGAGTTTTGGTTGAAAGACGAAGATACAAAAATTTATCTGATCCTTCAGATAAATCGCGATGGTAAGTACAATAATTTTTTCTTCAGTGACTCAAGCTATGAAGATGCACGAGAAGTATGCTTGCTGTCAGCCAGGATGCACTTCAGTGCTGCAAGTATTTCAATTGAAACGTTCAATTTTCCAATGACCTTGTTGCTTCCTGTGTCCAGAACTGAAAAAGAAAAAGTATATGCTTCCAGTCAATTCTTTTGCAGACAGTAATGTACAGATTATTCAAAAGGTGCTCGACTAACACTTACCATCAACATCTTCTTTTATAATATCTTTGCCATATTTTAAAATCTGCAAGAAAAATATTGAGTTAATTTGTTAATGGAACTGAAACTTTTGAAATTTACACTACGTAGCAATTATCGAATCATGGTGACCTCGAACTCCTCACTTCAAATCCTGGCTACCAGCACATTTTTCAATTTTTTCTTGCATATACCAGAGAAAAAGCATGGAACCTTAGAGTGCTTTCATGCTTTCTTCATAGTCATTCACAACTATGCTTGGCTATGTCACATACCTCTGCATGAACTAAGAGTCTTCGCATGTTAGTCAATGAGCATACCATGCTTCAACACAAGATGCCTTCAAGTTGTGTTGGAACCTATAAAATACTGCTTATTAGAACCTATAAAATACTGCTAATAGTTTACAGGCCCTTGTAATTTCCCTTTTGTGGTCTCCCACATTTAGCCCTTTGTTATATTTTATGAAAAAAAATTTGCATCAGGATGTATAAAATGCATTAACAAAGATGCAACCCACAGCTAGAACATTCTCTTGAAAAGAATGTTACATGATACCCGCAAGTAAATAAAAACCATTATGCTTGCACAATGGTCAGACTATAAGTGTGACACGTACTGCAAATGTTTCAATATGTGTCATATATAAGTATTGCACGTACTTCAAGCTACGTGCTCTTGAGTGACCCAAAACAATTTTGATAATAAGGACAATGCTGTAGGCACAAAATACATCTTAGCGAAAGAGCATTAGAGGCCTCTCCTCATAGCAAGCAAGCTGCTCAAATGAAATTGTAATTTTGCGACCTTGTCGAATAGAATTTTACTTGCCTGTTTCAAGTCAATTACTGCAAAGCCGACATCTTGGCACTCAGCATTTTTGCTCTTGCCTAAAGGTTCACTCACCACTGTGAATTTTATGCTGAAAAAATTTATCAACACATGTGAAACATTGATTGTACAAGACATTGAACAATTTGACAAAGAGACAAACCTACATGCATTGTTAAATGCTACTATACTACACCCTCGCAATTACTGATATTAGGGCTAGTAAATTAATTTATCAATTTATTTATTGAATCCGTCTTTGTGTTAATAGTTAATCCGTGAGCTCCTGACCAAATCAGGCAAGTGCTGATGCTTCCACTCTGCTAGCTAAACGAAAAAATTGGGGGACCGTTCAGCTTCGCCTTTAACAGGTGAACACGATAGTGATATCCTATCCCTATTGCCTCAACAGCTTACTGCATACTCTTTATTGTATGATGTTACTCAATAACTTTAAATTGTGGGTTACTACAGTACAATCGATAAAACTGAAAGTGGCTCATGTCGGTGAAGCTTTCGCATATGGCTGCATTCTTTGTAATGGGTAGCATGCTTTAAACCATGAGGAATTATGCAGCAAAATCTTTTCAAACTTTCCATTCTATCACTATGTGGTACCAACAAAATATGTGCCGTAACATGGGTGCCTTTTGTAATAGCTGGCCGGCTTTAAACCACGAAGTCGTTATGATGATCACATGTTCTGACGCCAGATGGCAATGTATGTTTGTACCGCACAATATTGCTGCATTATTACCGCTGGTCGGCAAACTCACCCATGAGTCGAATCACTTGGCCTTACTCAGACTCGGATCGAGCCGTGAGTCCAGGTGAGTAATATTTTCGTGAGTTTGATTCTGAATGAGTCCGGTTGAAGGAAATTTTCGTGAGGGCGAGTCCGGCTCAGTAAAATGTTTCCGAGTCTGAGTCCGAGTGATTCCCAAGTTTAGAATATATTTCGTGAGTGAGTCTGAGTGAGCTCCATAATTTTTACCGACCTATGATTAATACACATTGTATTGTGAAGCCTGTATACTGGACGCGTGTGTTTGTAAAGCATGAATGTTTTCACTGCATTTCCAAGCAGAGGAACTTATTTTCACTGTATTTCCAAGCATATGTGGCTGTATGGCAGAACACCTGCTTGCCTTGCAAATGGCCTCGTTTCAATCCCCAATCGGAACCAGAAATTTTTATTTATTTTATTTACTTATTTCTCTATTTTTCGGTCATGCAAGAGATTATGGTTTTTCACTTACAACACCAATGCTGACGCCACAATGTTTGCAAAATGATCTTTTTAATGCTATCGTGGCAAAAAAATGAAGTTACCATGTCGAACTAAGAGATTGCCAGTGGGTTCCTTGAGGCAGAAGCCAGTCGTACAATCTGTGCTTGGCACCACAGGAAGAAAAGTTACTGTTGTGTAAGGAACTCTACAGTGTAGCTGGCAAGAGTGTTCATGAGCTAATAAACTCTGCCACTGGAAAACGATAAGCATTTTTGATTCCACAGATTGACCTTCAATTGTGTTCATGTAAGTAATCACTCCAATTATGAATAGTTCTGCTGCCAGGCAAACAAATGGCAATTCTATCAGCACATAATTTTTTCTGCAGAAATTACTTTAATAAATTACCAGGTTTGGTGATTTATTTACCCCATGGCTGTAAGCCAAATAGTTCCACTAATCAAGGTTGATCATGTGCATTAAACAACTTTGTTACAGTATCTTTCACAAAATCATTTATCATACCTAAGTATATAATGAATTGCTTTTGTCATCACAATTCATATCTTGAAGATCATGCCAACAAGATCAGCACACCAATTTGGAAAACAAAATTTTTTATTGAGTCCTTGCAACTGAATATGTTGAATAGAATGCGCTTCTTGTATAAATTGAAACATTCAGGACCATCAGTCCTCTGAAAGACACTTAGCTAGCATTGTAGAAGTAGTATACTTTTGTTCCCACTTCTCATTTTTTATTAATCAGTTGTCTTTTCTTTTTTATGCCTGCAAGAGCATGTCCTTCTCTTCATGTATTTTTGCTGACCAATTCCATCTGTAATGTCTCTCAGCTGTAGGAGTATATGAATAAACTAACAAATAATGGGAAAATTAGTGGTTACCAACTACTATGTCTAAAGTAAGTGGACTGAATAAACTATTTTTAAAGCTCGAAGTTTCTCAATGAAACTAGCCTGTCTCATCATAACCCTGATTAATCCATGCATAGCAAGCAATAGAATGTAAATTACATGGCACTCTTCGGGTTTTTAGATGTCATCATAGAAGCCAAGGCTTCCCTCCTCTCTTGATGCCGATTGGAATCAAGATGGACAACTGCAAATAATTAAGACAGGGATAAGTTGGGCTGGTAACGATATATAACAGAATTGAACTGCAGGAAAAACATGGGGAAAAAAAGCACTAAAGCAGTCAGACCCACACATGTACTGAACTCTAAAGACATTGCGACTAGTTTACTATATCAGTAACTTAATATGTACAAAATACATAAATCCAAAGCTTATTTAAAAGCCCCTCACATTTTAGACAGTCTCTTCAGATCGTAAAAAGTACAATTTTACCGATTTGTTTCTCCGAGGCTGAATTGAAAGAACAAGAATTTACTTGTCACAAATTTTTCATTCATGTCTTTTTGTGAAATGCTTTATATTTGACAGGAAAGCATTTCGAATTATTGAAGCAGCGTGCTGGTCCTCTTTCCAGTAATGCATAACATCCGTTAGCATGCTCCCCTATCATACATGGCAGTTATAGGTTCCTGCGAGTGTTCCTACTGTCCACCACATTATGTGGTTGTGCTATGGGGAAGCTTATCAAGGCATTTTTCCATAATATATCTCAAAATCATGTTGCACACCATCTAATATATTGTGAGACATGCACTTCACTCTTTTTTACTCAATTTCGTACACTTCATATAAAATGCCCCGTTTTCCGAAACAGTACCTTTTCATCGGTATGAACATTTTCGTTGAGACAAGTTATTGCATTTCAGTTAGGCAAAATACACTGGCAGGAGTGCCATGCAGTGCAACATCAATATATGATGTGTGGAGGTGAACGAGAGTTCACATATGCATAGCACAGCACTATATTTTTTCATGGAATATTTAAGATATTACGACTGTTTCATAATGTTGTGTTGAAAAGCATGATGAAGCAGGCTTGAACTAGAGGAAGATGAGGATTCTTACTGCAGCTTGAGTGCCGTTCTTATTTCTAGTGAATATAAAAACTCTGCACTTGTGTGCCTCCTTTCTTCATGGAACAATACAATAAACACATCTATATATTCAATATCAATATATATGTGAATGTCCATTTAACACAGGAAAAAGAGTCTGAAAAATCAAAAGCTGCAAAGTTGTAAATAATGAGTAATTGTAGCACATCAAAACGAAAGTTCTCCCAAGTAACCGCGGATATCCGCTGGCTGTCCATTCTGAATACAAATGTCCGGCCGTATGAATATCCAACACGGATAGCCAATGGACGTACTGTGAAAATCTGTGTCCCGTCTGGCTCTTCTCTGGACGTCCGACGGGACATTAAGTTTCAAACGTTGACTGGCTGTCTATATAAGCACATGCCAGAAATATGTGCATTTGCTCATCAATTATTGTAAAATTAGAATGTATTGGAAATATATATAGACCTGCCAAATCCCGGGTTACAATATTGTAAAATTTGATAAAAATGCTACTATAAAATGCATTAAAACATCGGCACGCGCGTTGAATTCAGGATGCCAGATAATTTTGCTTCCTGAGGCAAAACCATCTGGTTGATTCGATATGTGTATCGTATGTCATAAGGAATGTATTTAGTATTATTATTATCACATGTGAACTAAGAAAAATGCAGATCGAGTGCGTCATAGCAGTCATCATAAGGCAAACTTCCATGCGCCAGTCTCAGCACTTCTCAACAAGCGGTGCACCGCAGTTGCTCAGATTCCTGGAACGTACATGTCATGCTAATCGTGCCCCTCTGGATGTGTTAAGAAAGAACCCGCGCCATTGTGCCTATTGTCCAGAAACCTGCTTGACCAGCGGCACGCACCGAGGGAAGGAGCACAGGAAAGGAGGATGTTCGTGTTGCATCACACGTAGGTACGCTGAGCCGGTCTCCGAGCGGCAGAAAGAAGGCAGATTTTTTTTTTTTCAAGAGCACCCGTGTGGACATCAACAGCATGTGAAGTTACGAAGGATGGCTTTTCCAGAACAAAAACCGGAATGCGGCACGAGCCCACCACTGTTTTGGGCACAGATTACCAAGGCAAGCGGCAGCAACCCCGCACACTCACACGGCACAGACAATGCCACGTGTTACATATCTGTTCTTTACATTTCGTATCGGAAATTTATCTGTTCTAAGCATGCATTAACTATTGTCTATCATTTGTATAAGCCCTGCTAATACGTGGCATGTTTCCAGCTTTTCATTTGCTAGCATATTTCTTGCTATTAAACGATTTAAGACAAGCACGTGGTCAGTGCCTGTACACCTTCTTTAGAAGCATGTGCTACACCAATTAGTCTTTCTCCTGTGCTTGTCCGTATGTATGTATTACAATTACTAGAATAACATTGCCATAAACACGCGTGAGTTGAGCTTGTTGCTAATAATTTATTCAACCCTCAAAGAAGCAACTGCTGCCGCCTAAGAAGTCATGGCACTTGAAGGCGGAAGGGCATTGAACACTGAAATATTGTAAGACTACTTTCACAATCACAGCTGTGGACTGTGAGTTACGTGCTTCTTAGCCTTACATGTTGATAATGAAGGTTTGATTGTTCTTGAAAGCCCACTTAGATTCCATTTTTTTCTTTTGAGAATTCATTTGCTGTTCTTGAACATGCACTAGCTATATACACACAAACTATATATATATATATATATATATATATATATTTGCAGCAAGGAAGTAACGCTGGCCCCGGTAGAATTTGACAAAGGCTGGTCCACCAGCCGAAACGTCAGGCAGAATATACCGTGCAAAAAACCTGCGTCGTACTCTCTCTCTCTCTCTCTATATATATATATATATATATATATATATATATATATATTTAATGCCACGCTGTGTTGGTGGCAGAAGACGAGAGCGAAAAAGTGAATGGCAGCTGTTCTCAGTCGAGATCGTCGTAATCAAAGGGAAGGCATCCAAATCATCCAATGCCTCCAAGTAAACTATGGTTGTGCATTTCGCAAAATGCCTGTGTTCGCCACCGAAGTTCGTAACTAAAATCGTAGTCTGGCCATTTCGCAGTTTAACGACACTTCGAGCAATGGCCACTTCCCGATCAAGCAATAACGTCAGGTTACTTTCGGCGATGCCCGTAATCGACTGCTCCCGTGGACACTCAACAAGCACGAAGATACTACTGCGAGGTGGCAACGTGACGCAATCGTCGACTACGCATGAGGCCACGCCACGATGTTCGTTCTCGATGTCGGAATCTGGAGAAACACAGTTAAAAAAAACTGACGAACAAATCACGCAGATTAATTATCGCTCCATACTCTTGCAGAAAATCCATGCTCAAAATGACCGGCCGAGAACAATTGGGCAGTACAAGGAATGATGCTACAAAAGCCGACGCACAAATCTCAAGCCTGGCGGTGCACCTTCCTATAGGGGATACGAGGTGTCCTCCAGCGGTGATTAGTTGAGGGCTGTCCCACGTTGTCAGCACCTTGTGTAGACGGGTGGCCAATGAAGCACTCATCACCGAGTAATCAGCTCCCGTGTCGACAAGCGCAGTCACTGGATAACAGTAGACGAAAACGGTAATGGCAGCGGACGTTCTGTTGCCGGTTTCACAAACAGGCTTTAACGGCACGTCGTAAGGCAGCGGCGGAGGGTATTTGTCGGTTCGCGTGACAGCGGCCTCACCTCCGGAGGTCGCCGTTTTCAGTTTCGCCGGCGTGGCCTTGCACCACTGACACCAGGGGACCCAAAGGCAGGTCGAGCGCGGTGCGTTGATGTGGACGGACAGGGTGATGGTGACCGTGACTATCATCGCGGCGGGACAGGAGCGTGATGACTACCTTCCAAGTAATCCGCAATTTCTTGTGGGCGCTCACCATAGCGTGGACAACGTGCATCTGGGTGGAATCGGCGTAGGCCTATTCGTCGGTAGTAACGGTCGCGGTACATGTGTCCAACTTCGCCACAATGGTAGCACAAAGGACGATTGTCGGGTGCACGCCAGACGGTGGACTTCCGTGGCCCAGGACGAAAATCGGCCTGAGAAGGCAGGCGATGGGCTGGACTTGGAAAGCGTCTGGGTGTCCCAGTAGGTTGATGAGCAAAATGTGCCGTCAACAGCGTAGAGGCGCGTAGGGCATCCGCGTAGGAAAGCGTGGGAGGTTCGACTTGCGATAGTGGTGAGGAGTGAACGAACTGCCTGATTTCGTTACGAACGACGTCCGTAAGAGCAGCGCTACTGGGAGGGGGCGCTGCATGAAATTTCCGAAGTTCTTCGCGTACAACTTGCCGTATGAGTTCTGTGAGGACCTCCCTGTTATAACCTCCTGGTACAAGCGAGCAAGCAGCAGACATGGCCGTCTGACGCTCATAATGCGACACCCGCTGCCGAAGCATGCGCTCCATAATTGTGGCCTCACGTATGAACTCGGACACAGTCGTAGGAGGGTTGCGCACAAGGCCCGCGAAAAGTTGCTCCTTTACGCCTCGCATTAGCAGGTGCACTTTCTTGTCTTCTGGCATGTGGGGGTCAGCCCGTCGAAACAATCGCGACATTTCTTCGACAAACATGGCGACGCTCTCGTTCGGCATTTGAAATCGCGAAGATTGTGCCTGCTCCACTCTCTCTTTCCGTTCAGGGTTACTGAACGCCTCGCGAAGCTGCCGATGGAATTCCTGCCAACTTGTGAATGAAGTTTCGTGGTTCTCATACCACACTCTTGTCGCGTCTAAGAGGGAGATATACATGTTCTTCAACTTACGGCAATTGTCCCAGTCGTTGATGGCAGCGACCCGGTCGAAATGGTCAAGCCAGTCTTCGACATCCTCACTGGCATCACCATGGAATGGGTTGGGTGTGCGAGGCGTGTTGATGACACAGGGTACGCTAGCGAGTGGGTCATGCTCGGTTTGGGTTGCGGATGTGGCAAACATTGTCCTCACGGAACTTGCCAAGGGGCCGTACTGTAGTGGTAGCCCTTGAAGGCGGCGGCTGCTTCAATAGATGTCAGCAGACCCTGGTGCACTGGCGATGGTTGCTTCTGGTTCAGGACCAGCAGGCATAAGACGTTGCAGTACAGTACCCAGCACGTCCACCAGTCTGTCGCGAGAAGAAACGATAGGCAGGAACTCGAAGTGGAGTTCGCCCCGATCCTGACAAGGCTATGGCAGTTGCTTTGTTCCCGATACCGAAAACAAAGCATGATGTGCGCCGCTTTCTGGGACTTTGTGCTTATTACCGCCGCTTCGTGCCGAACTTTTCGAAAATCGCCGACCCTCTACAACAACTCGTCAAGGATGACGTCGCCTTCATCTGAAGCCCCAAACAATCCGGCGCTTTCCGCGATCTTAAACAACGCCTACAAACACCACCGATCCTAGGTAACTTCGACACCGAAGCAGACACAGAAGTCCACACTGATGCGAGCAACCTTGGCCTCAGAGCTATTCTCGTGCAATATCAAGATAGCGTGGAACGCGTCATCGCCTACGCTAGCCGCACGTTGTCATCTGCGGAGAACTACTCTACGACTGAAAAAGAATGTCTGGCGATTGTATGGGCCATAACGAAATTCAGGCCCTACTTGTACGGACGCCCCTTCCGAATCGTCAGTGACCACCACTCTCTCTGCTGGCTAGCAAATCTGAAAGATCCTTCGGGCCGTCTCGCAAGATGGAGCCTTCAGTTACAAGAATTCGATATAACGATGGTTTACAAGTCTGGTCAGAAACACACCGACGCTGACTGTCTTTCCCGCACACCCGTCGAGGTCACTGAAGAAGACAATGATGAAGACTTCAGCTGCCTTGCTATTCTCGCATCATTAAACGTGGCTGAGCAGCAACGCGAAGACTTAGAATTACAACCACTGATCGAATACCTTGAGGGACGTCGCCCACAACCCCCACGTCAGTTCGTGCGTGATTTGTCATCTTTCCGTCTACGCCAAGGCATCCTCTACAAGTGCAACTTTCATTCAACGAAAACTGTTTACCTCCTCGTCGTTCCTGCTGCTCTCCGCGATGATATTTTGCGTGCTTGTCACGACGAGCCATCGTCAGGGCATCTTGGCTTCGTGCGTACTCTGGCGCGGATTAAAGACAAATACTACAGGCGAAAACTTACGAAAACCGTCCGGCAGTACGTCAAGACATGCACAGCCTGTCAGCGCCGCAAAACTCCAACGACGAAACCAGATGGTCTGCTTCAGCCTTTGCGACCCCCTCACGCACCTTTTGAAAAGGTCGGGACGGATTTACTCGGCCCATTTCCGAATTCTACGGCTGGTAACCGCTGGATTGTGGTTGCCACCGACTACTTGACCAGATACTGCGAAACACAAGCCACCCAGTGAGCAACTGCTTCCGAGATGGCTGACTTTTTCATCAAGAACATCGTTCTCCGCCACGGTGCTCCCGCTGTCGTCATCACAGATCGTGGTACTGCTTTTACGGCACAGTTGCTCCGACAGATCCTGTTGCTGAGCGGCACGACGCACAAAACAGCAACTGCGTACCACCCGCAGACTAACGGGTTAACCGAAGGACTTAACAAAACGATTGTAGATATGCTTTCGATGTATGCCGCCAAGGATCAGAAGAATTGGGATGAAATCCTCCCGTATATAACATTTGCCTACAATACAGCTTTGCAGGAAACCACCGGCTTTGCTCCTTTTCGTCTGGTTTACGGCCGCGACGTCACCACAATGCTTGACACCATGCTGCAAACAACTCTGCCGGACACGATTACCCCGGACGCAGATGTATTTGTTCAGCGTGCCGAAGACCCCCGGCAGCTGGCGCGCTTTCGCATTTTATCGCGGCAAAATCAAGATGCTCGCCGATACAACACTCATCACAGTGCAGTAATATACGAACCTGGTGACCTAGTCTAGATTTGGACTCCTATACGTCAACGGGGACGCTCAGAAAAATTGTTATGTCGGTACTTCGGACCCTACCGAGTTCTTCATCGCCTCAGCGAAGTGAACTACGAAGTTGTCTCAGCAAACATGTCACACCGTTCTCGCAGACAACGCTCCTCGGATGTGGTTCACGTCTCCAGGATGAAGCCGTACTATTCGCGTTGACTGCAAGTCAAGAACTTTGTGATATGGCAATAGCCTTCAAGACAATTGTGCATTACTTTCTTGCTTCGTTATTTTTCATCTCGTCCTTTTTCTTTTCAAAGGACACAGACATTTCTGGCTACCTTTCGTTGTTTTTCGGAGCCGTGGTATTCATGCGATGCTTCTTCTTCTTTTTTTTTTCTTTGGGGAGGGGGTAATGCCACGCTGTGTTGGTGGCAGAAGACGAGAGCGAAGAAGTGAATGGCAGCTGTGGCTGAGTAAACAGTCCTCCACTTCGAGTTCCTGCCTATCGTTTCCTCTCGCGACAATATCCATGTTGGATGTCGAGGGAACGTACAAATTCGTCACCTTTGTACATGTGATGTATGCCAATCGTACGTACAGCGTACATCCGTGGACATCTGATGGACGTCCGGAATATTCTAAATGTACGTCCTGTTGTATGCCTTCCGGATATTCTTGGTTACTTGGGCTGTTACCTTGGCCTGCCTCTATCATTGTAACCGGAGGTTCATATGTTTTCAGAAGTGCTATGATAATTCAATGAAGAAAATATAAGTATGGCAAGTTAACACCAGTGAAAGTGAAGATCTTTTAAAACAAATCAGGCATATTTATCTCTATGTATACCAATATTACAAACACAATGAAACCTACATAGCAAAAAACTTACTTATCTGAAAAAGATTAAGGCTATGACTCGAATCAGTGTTTTTCGAAGCGCTATGACAATAAAATGTTAGCTGTTACCTTTTCTGAAGTTGAAGGCAATTCGTTGTGGAGGTTTTGGCTTTGGCAACGCAACTGGTGTTTCAAGTTCTTCAGGGGAGCAATCGAGAAATTGGAACTCAACAAAAAGCATCTCAATTGACTTGTTTTTCAATACTGCAGCACCAGGCAGAAATCCCAGGTTAATCACTGAGAAAACTGCAACATCTGAAATCTAAAGGTCAGACAAGGTGATTAAATTAGCAGTCTACGGATGAAGAAAAAATCTAGACAAAATCACAAGTGAGATTATTTACAGCAACTGAATAGTTGACAATGTTGGTACTAAATGTTTTAGTCACCTAAACTACATGTTATATAAACTTCAAAATACAAATCTTCCTTTTTTTTCTCCACTAAAGAGATAGGAAAGTTTAAAGACTAACAGTAATAAGATGTTGGTTGTGTTGGGTTTTGTGGCACAAAAGTGACTCTGGCTACGTTGCACTGCACGTGTAATAAGATTTCAGGCCATTTAGAAAGCCTAGTTTTGTTTAGCACAGATAAGAAGCAACCTCCATAAAAATATTAGGAATTCAAATATGAATGGGTAACAGCAACCCAGAGTGCTAACTATTAGCATGAGTGCTAACTGCACTCGTGCTTCTTGCATGCATGATTTGATTTGTGGGGTTTAACGACCCAAAACCACTATTTGATTATGAGAGATGCCGTAGTGGAGGGCTCCAGAAATTTTGACCACATGGGGTTCTTTAACGTGCACCCAAATCTGAGTACACGGGCCTACAACATTTCCGCCTCCATCGGGAATGCATTCTTGCATGCATATCAACGTCAGCTATACTTCTACACACATGGACAATGCCACCATCTAGAAGCAGTGCAGTAAAGTACTGCATCACAACACTAATGTTCCTACAGTAAGCTGTGCAGGAGTCACCACCGCCTATGCTATCTCCAACCATGTAGAAAGTAAAGGGGGGAAGCCCACCTATGCATGCACAGGTGAGACGTTTGGCCCAACGTTACTAGAATAAACTCAGTTTCAAAGCTCCGTATCTCCGCCAGGGGAGGAGGATGGGCCAAACGGGGGTCCCGAGAACTAGCGGCCTTGCAGTCTGATCTTGCGCTACGCTCGGCGCATCGTCTGCTACGGCGGCGTACCGCAGTGATTCACTGTGCTGTTCTTCGCGTTGGCTTCCCAGTTGTAATGTTATCGAACTTAACCATTCATCATGCGCTTCCAGTTGACATTCTCGCGTCGCATTAGTGGACTGCTTATGTGGATACACACAAGGTCTCCTGTATAAATTGGCCCGAATGTGTTGCTCATTGCAAGTTGGCTAAGAACCGATGTCCTGCCTACACATGTGATGTTTGTATTTGGTTTAACCTTCAGGTACAGGAAATTCTATGTGAATGAGCATTTTTAGCATAAAAATTTTATGACAACCGCTACCATTTTAAGCACTGTCATCTTGCCTAAATGAAAAATGGCCCAAAATTTATGAAAAATACTAAAACAAGTTAATTTACTAGAATACAAAAATGCTCTAGAAAAACAGTACTCATGTTTTTTGCTAGTTTAAAAAAAAGACTTTTTGAAAAAAACAGTACTCATGTTTCACACTGTTCATCAGACAACTCTTCACGGGGGCTACAAATTAAGACCGGAGATTAAAATGCTACAGGAACTTCACCTCTTTTTTAGCATTTTCCACCTTTTCAAAAAGTGCCTGATCGGTTTTCTTGAAAAAAAATGGATATTCTCATCACAGTGTAAAACATAACGATCCTGTTTTCATGATGAGTGGTATAACTCAAAAGATACAGTGGCAACCACTCCAACTTTTCAAGCACAATTCAAAAGAGGTCATCAACCAGGGGGTTTTCATGAAAAGCCTCTCGACAGTTTTCTCAATTGCTTTTAATATAGAAAGAAGGCCATGTAAGGGATGATCTAAGCAGCCTTCTTGAAAACACCTCATCTGAATGAGTGCACTTTTGTGTGGTTTGGGCACGCCTGCTCCAAGGCTACTTGTGAGAGATGCTAGAGACCCTCTTTGCACGTTGTCACTTATTCAATTTTTGACGAAGGTACCCACAGATGCAGTATACTCATGGTGGGCTACTTTCTGGTGCACTTCAATGCACCAAAAAGTGACACCGATATGTGCCACCGTTACCTGCTCTAAGGTTCAGAAATGAGAACGCTGCGTTTGAGAAAAATATCTATTGCTGTAATATAACAGCAATAAAGGAAATGTAACAAAGCGTGGTGACTGGCAAAACACGACCACTTGCATGCCTTTGTATTGGTTAATAAGGAAATTATATATTAAAGCAAAAATATCCACTGCTTTTCAAGCAGAGAGACAGTTGACAATTGAACGGACGTCGCTCTAAGTATCGACAGCGTTGCTCGTCCCGTGCCTTTCGTCTTGTTCTATTTCTGGCAGCTCCTCCAAACTGGGCACTAAAAATTCAAGGGGCACCATGCGTTTAGGGGGGGGGGAGGGAGTTGGCAAGTTGGTTATGAACATTTCGGCTTCGATATATGGGGCAAAATTGCTGGGACCAAGCGCGGATGGGTACCGAGTGCGAGCTCCCACTTTTAGCGTTAGATCAAAACTTCTTGTTCATCAAAACATGACGGTAGTGCATTACGTTGTCGTCCTTCTTACATTGAATGACACAGACTTTGCGTTTGGCAGTGAGCTTTCTATATTTGCGACGCAAAGCTTGGTATTACCCTTTTAATTGTGCTGAATTTCTTTGGAGGTCTGTCATGGTCAGCAATAATTGGTTTACGCCCCAATCAAGACTAAATGATGGCTTGCAATTGATTAATTTTACTCCACCTAATTTAAAGGCTCTACTATACTAACATGGCCTCATATTATTTCACTTATCTGGTTACTCTCCCGGGTTATTTTTGTAGGAGGTTAGAACTACCTTTCAGTGTGTGCTTTGATCATGCTCTCAAATTAAGTTGTAGGATAAACGGCTGTCTCTTCTTTCATACTTATATTTTTATAGTTTATGCATTGTACATTATTTGAACGCGATAGCTTTGACGAGCTTGTTTCACAGAAATGTTTAAGTCAGCATTGCTGTCAGCGTCTCCTGTTGTGAGCGAGAAAACATAATCTTGTTCAAGACAAAAAAAAATCAAGAAACCTGCCAGTATATTAAATAATAAAAGACTAATACGAGAGAGAATCGACCCAGGCTCTCTGGGTGGCAATCATGTGTTATACCACAGAGGCATGCCGATGATCTAAACTGATTCGAAAAAAAAAAAAAAAAACATTATGAATTTCATTTAGTAGAAGTTCTCATTATATTGTGTCCAGCAAAAAAGCGAGGCCTTATGTTTACACTTTTTTTGTTCATGTATAGTAGAAGAAATTTCTTCAATCTACGCAATATTAAGTTGTAGAAGCGTAGAATCGCACCAGGTGTGAAATGCGCAACGAGTGAGAGTTAGAAAGACTCAGCCATTACAGGGCGCTCAAATATATGTTCGCATGTCGCTTTGCGCACGCGTAAAGGCTCCTTTGCTGATTCGCAAAAGGAACAATTATGGCGCAGTGAGCACTTCGCAACTGTACTTGCAGTAGACATTCTACGATATTTTTAAACGGCCAGTGTTGCATGCACAGTCGTTTATTCCCTCATGGCACGGTTGTTTAGGCACACACCAAGATCCAAGCTAGGCTACTAAATGAGAAGGTGATTCGCACAGGGCCCGGTTACGCGATTGCGGTCTACTCTTGAAGGCGAAGCTCAAGCGTGCTCCAAGTTTTGTAATTATTGTGTTTGTAACAGTTGTGTAATTGTTGTCACACAATATTCATAATACTTAACAGCGTCACCTCTACCATATCTGTCAATTGCTACTGCATGAAATAATATTATTAATAATGGTAATATTTATTATTATTATTATTTGCACTACAGTAAGAATTTTCTCAGGCAGCATGCAAGGCTAGACAGCAAATTTGCTTACAATCGTACATCTTCTAGCCCGTCATCGCTGGACGAAAGAGATCGGAGGCTACATATATGACGTTCTCAAGCTGCTTATAGCAGCTTTTATGTTGGCCCAAACCACTCTGTAACCGTGTTTACACAGATAATAAATAATTAATAAACAAACAAACAAAGAAGTTGCGTGAAGCGGAGTCGTTCGCCTCTCTTGGAGCCTGGCACAAAGCTAGTCCACATACCACAATGTAGATAAATCTGCTCCTCCTCGCTATGCCTCATACATGACAAACGCGTTTTCGTACAAGAAACTACGCAGTGCCAAAAACAGTCCGAGAAGTGATGTGGGAATACAGCGCAACATTCGCGGTAGCCGCTTGCATGTCGTTACCACCGATCACAACACATGCACCCTGCATCGCTAGAGCAAGATCGTACTGCAGCGCCACGCCTCTCGTGACCGTGACCGCCACGTGGCCCGCCTCTTTGGCGGAGCTTTCAAACTGAGTTTATTCTAGTAACGTTGGTTTGGCCGGCGTGGGGAAAATGGTGAGGGACCAGGACAGTTGTTAGTTGAGCTGAGGCAGGAGAGATGTAACCAGAGATGGTCGCTTCGGACTACACATGCATTATGCTGCCTGCTTGGGTGTCGGAAGCCATTTAGGAACTTCTATGAGCACCACTAAGGGGAGACCAGGCACCCAACAGAAATGACACAAGCCTATTCGCCTCTTTCAATCCCTACAGAGTTGGTTGCTTTCAAAGGTGAATAACACAGGTGAAAAGTCAAATGCACTTCCACCAACATGGGACCTATATGAAATTTGACTGAGAAAGAGCAGTAAGGTGGAGCAAAAGATGCATTATTTTGAGCAAGAACAACTTATATATGCTGTGAAATGAAGATTTACTGTACATAGGAGTTTCAACAGTTGGATATACTACCAAGACATCTTTTTTATTCAAAAGTTTATAATAATTTTCTAGCTGACTGCATATATCCATATAGCTTGTAAAAACCAATAAGCCAGCAGCTGACAGTGACAACTGCAGTACTGTGCAAGCTACTAGACATCCTAGCTCAAAGAACAAGTAGTTCTGAAATTAACAAAACATTTTGCTCAAGAGAGATAAAGCACCACAGATGAATTAAAGCTCCATAAGATATTGGTACCGGATAATAATGGTAAGGGGGCTCTACAGCAAGGCTAAATTTTGTTCTCTCCTGGATGTAGGGTTCCACTGAGCATTTTATGATTGAGAACCTATGACCACTTGCTACCCCCCCCCCCTCCGCTCATACTTTTTTTATTTATATTTCCAACTTCTCTGCACGAAGGAGTTATCCATGAAAGTGAGCACCAATACAGCAGCCTAGTTCAGGAAACAATAGGAACGAGCTTTATGATACAAGACGTATGTGAAAGTTTTGCCACGATATAAAATTCTGCAGAATATGACAAGTACAAAAATAGAGTACTTAAAATAGGCCATTTTTGCTCCAGTATTTGTCAATCAAATCAGCTGGACATAGAAAAAACAAAAGCAGCCTTCATATTATTTACCAACCAACACATATCACTACTAAAGATGCTTGAGTGCTCCTATGACATAATAGACACAGCTCACTTTTGGATAGTTTAACGAGCAAACATGGTGTTCTTCTACCAATCATGTAATGCCTGTCACTTGTCTTTTTTATGCATGCAAGCAATAGCAGCAAGGTATACTTCCTCTACAAGAATGTGTGTTCAGTATAGACGGTGAATCTGTCCAGCTTTCGTTTCTCCTTTATATGTTACCAAAGCAATCTGTGGCTAATCAATATGGATGGCCTACCACAATATGATCGCAGGGCAAGAAAAATTCTAAAGACTGGGTATTTTGGTATGACACATGATGGCACAATTTTAGTGTGCATCTAAAGTTAATGAATTCATTTTATGGGTGTGTAGCTAAGGTGTCAGATGATAACTACAAAAAAAAAAAAGATTTTACCTACAAGTGCACGCGTGCATGGTGTGACTGCGATGTACAAGTGATGTACTAAGTCTGTCAAAAAAAGACACTAAACATAAACGGCACATATTTCATGCATAAGATAAGTGTGATAATATTCTTTTGAATCATAAATTTTGTCTTAAAGCTGTTTGTACAGGTCTAAATCTATACAAGTGAGATTGTCACTATCACTTCCCAATTCAGTGCAACTGTTCTTTAAACACTACTTATAACAAAGATTCAAGCACATAATTTAATTTTCTTTCTCAGCATCTTAAGCAAGCATTGTGACACATACTAGTCTCACAAGCTTTTGTAAAAGCCGGCAAGCTATGCAAAATTGCCATTAAGTTTGGCTAGTCACACACTGTAGATAAGCATCTAACCTTAAATGTGTCATTCCTCTTCAATGCAGCCGTTTTGACAACTACTTGTCCATTACTGAAATCTTCAACACTTTGACTTTCTTCTGCAAAGCTGCTGTTCACACCAGCAGCGTTGTTTCCATCTTCCCATCTCTGGACTTTGTTGACCTTCACACCTGCTGAGAAATACATTTGGTATGAACTAACTGCATTTCTCACTTTACAGGCCGAAGAACT